ACAGAGCAGACACAGACCCACAGACATAGAAAACAAACTTATGGTTAGCAAAGCGGAAAGGGGAAGAGGGATAAATTAGAAGCTTGGGATTTAAGAGATACACATTACTATATACAAAATAAATAAGGACCTACTGTATTGCATAGGGAGCTGTATTTGATATGCTGTAATAATTTATAAGGGAAAAGAATCTGAAAAAGAATATATATACGTATATGTATAACTGAATCACTATGCTATACACCTCAAACTAACACATTGTAAATCAGCTAGACTTCAGTTTAAAAAGCTGCAGTGGACATTCTCGCGCTGATCTTCACGCCAGTGAAGGATGAGATGAGGGACTCCGAGGGGAGCTGAGGGGCCAGGGGGTGACACAGCCCAGCTCCACCAGACAAGGCCATGGTGCTATCCAAAGCGACCCCGCCCATCATCTGGCGGGGGGCCTGAGTTCCCGTTTCTCTCCATCGGGGCTTCCCTGGCGGCTCAGACAGTAAAGAATCTGCCCACAGTGCAGTTTTGATCCCTGGGTTGGGAAGATCCGCTGGAGAAGGAAATAGCATCCCACTCCAATATTCATGCCTGGAGAATTCCATGGACAGAGGAGCCTGGAGGGGTACAGTCCATGGAGTCACAAAGAGTCAGACACGACTGAACGACTAACATTTTGCTTTCACTTTGCCGCCCTTGCTGCTGCCAGGCTGACTTTCCGTAAACCTGGGAGGAAGGAGGGGAGCTGGGACTGACATCACACCGTCTGACTTTGCACTTCCCTGATGTGGTTGACACAGCCTGCCAAGCTTCTCCTCCATGTGTCCTATCTTACCAGCGGGATTTCCTATGGTTTGTCAGACGTCGCGTATGTGGGATGCTGGCACTGTGTCTGTTTTCATGGAGATGTGACTCTGAGAACCTCCTTGAGGAAAAGACTCCCAGCTTAAATTTAGGAGTTGGGAGGAGACCTAGGTCATGCAGGTGGGCTCTGCCTCCCGTGGCACGTGTCCTGCTAGGAGACAGGCGGGGGGCCTTTGAGCCAGACACAGAGGAGACAGCATGGAGATGGAGGCGGGGATGGAGGGCTGTGCCCACAAGCCCAGGGATGCCTGGGCCCCCAGAGGCTGGGGGAGGTGAGGAGGAACCGTCCCCCCGGCGTCTCCAGGGGGAGCATGGCCCTGGGACACTTTTAATTTTAGCCAAATGTAGCTGATTTTCTACATCTGGCCTCCAGAACTATGAGAGAATAAATTTCTGTGGTTTTGAGCCACCCAACTTGTTTACAGCAGCCCTGGGAAGCTAATCCGGAGCTTAATTCTGTGAGATAAGAGAGATGGTCTTGGTCACCATGATGTCAATAGGGCGCTGACGGGGCGCTCAGCTCCTCCGGCCCTGGAGGCCCTCCAGGCAGTATCTGGTGTCGCCGAGTTCTTGGCCCCCAGGCTGGGGGCAGGCCACCTCGTCACCGTTATACTAGCCACGTGTAACGGGCTGCTAGGGGATCCCTCGGTGGTGTCTTGTCCATCCTGCTCCATGGCCAAGGCTGGTTGTGCCACAGAGGGACGTGCGAGCCGAGCAACCACCGGGGCTGACCGGTGGCCTGCCAGACCGGTTCTTTAAGAATCTGAACTTAAGGGACACAGGGACGACTGTAACTTGTCATGAAGCTTCCATGAAAAGCTGGTGGAGTGTCAGGACTGGACATCTGCCCTGGGCCGTGCCTGAGACGGGGCTGAACAGAAGCAGTCGTCAGAGAAATGGCAGACTGGGGTGATGTGGAGACAGGAGCAGAGGCTGGGGACCCTGGGCTAGCAGCACTGGGGCCCAGCAGGGAAGTGAAAGTGAAAGTCGCTCAGTTGTGTCCGACTCTTTGCGACCCCATGGACTATACAGTCCATGGAATTCTCCAGGCCAGAATACTGGAGTGGGTAGCCTTTCCCTTCTCCAAGGGATCTTCCCAACCCAGGGATCGAACCCAGGTCTCCTGCATTGCAGGCAGTTTCTTTACCATCTGAGCCTCCAGCGAAGCCCAAAAATACTGGAGTGGGTAGCCTTTCCCTTCTCCGGGGGATCTTCCCAACCCAGGAATCGAACCAGGGTCTCCTGCATTGCAGGTGGATTCTTTACCAACTGAGCTCTCAGTGAAGACCAATAGCACAGCAGGTAAGTCAGGACATTTTGGTCACCTGCAGTGTCTACACCCAGTTGGGACCCCAGCCCTGGCCAGGAGCCCGAGAGGACTTGACAGCAGCTTGTGTATGAACCAGCCACTTTTCAGCACTCAGCATCTCCCCTAGAAGCTCTGGGGGGTCGGAGAGGCCCACCTAGGGGAATCAAACCCAGGGATCTCGGGGCATGTGGTGCAGAGGGGCTTGAATGGGATCCCAGAGGGCTGGCTGGGTCTGTCCATGGAGGGCGGGGAAGGGAGGAAGCTGGGGAGCATCAGGAAGCAGGGAAAGAAGGCGGAGGGAAGCCGGCTCAGTGCCTTCCCGCCGTCGCCCTGCGAGCTTGCCGACCTTGGCATTTGCTAAGTGGGAAGGATCAACTTTAGACAGCCCCCACCCTGGGGACTCAGACGAGGCAAAGAGCCAAGCGCTGTGGATGCTGGGTGGCACAGGCATGCAGGTAGGGGAGAATACACCTTTATAGCACACAGGACGGGAAGGGGCATCAGGGAGGGCGTGGGTGAGCAAGTACGGGTCAGCCACTGGCTCACCAGATAACCCAGGGGTCTGCATGCTTCAGTCCACAGCCAAATCCAGCCCTGTTACCAGCTTTTGTAAATAAAGTTTTATTGGAACATGACTATGCCCATTCACATGCTCAATGCCACTGGCTACTTTGCTTTTTAATGGTAGAGTTGGATGGGGAAACAATGGAAACAGTGACAGATTTTATTTTCTTGGGCTCCAAAATCACTGCAGATGATGACTGCAGCCATGAAATTAAAAGATACCTGCTCCTTGGAAGAAAAACTATGACAAACCTAGACAGCATATTAAAAAAGCAGAGGCATTACTTTGCTGAGCTTCCCTCATAGCTCAGCTGGTAAAGAATCTGCCTGCAATGCAGGAGACCTTGGTTTGATTCCTGGGTTGGAAGATCTGTAGAAGGGATAGGCTGCCCCCTCGCATTCTTGGGCTTTCCTTGTGGCTCAGCTGGTAAAGAATCTGCCTGCAACGTGGGAGACCTTAGTCAATCTCTGGGTTGGGAAGATCCTCTGGGGAAGAGAAAGGCTACCCACTCCAGTATTCTGGCCTGGAGAATTCCATGAACTGTATAGTCCATGGGGTATAGGGACTGTATAGCCCCTGAGGTCGCAAAGAGTTGGACATGATTGAGTGAGTTTCGCTTCACTTTGATGACAAAGGTCCATCTAGTCAAAGCTGTGGTTTTTCCAGTAGTCATGTATGGTTGTGACAATGGACCATAAAGAAAGCTGAGCACTGAAGTATTGATACTTTTGAACTGTGGTGTTGGAGAAGACTCTTGAGAGTCCCGTCAACTGCAAGGAGATCCAACCAGTCAATCCTAAAGGAAATCAGTCCTGAATATTCATTGGAGGGACTGATGCTGAAGCTGAAACTCCAATACTTTGGCCACTTGATGCGAAGAACCAGCTTATTGGAAAAGAGCCTGATGCTGGGAAAGATTGAAGGCGGGAGGAGAAGGGGACAACAGAGGATGAGATGGTTGGATGGCATCACCGACTCGATCGACATGAGTTTGAGTAAGCTCCAGGATTTGGTGATGGACAGGGAAGCCTAGACAGCATGCTGCAGTCCAAGGGGTCAGAAAGAGTGGGACATGACTGAGTGACTGAACTGAACTGAACTGGTTAGTTTCCACAGAGACCATGTAAGGCAGAAAGCTGAAAGTGTTTACTATCTGGTCCATGACAGGAATCATTTGCTGATCCTTGAGGAAAAGCAAATAATTTCTTCTCACACACATTCACAAACAGCTATGTACTGAGTCCTAGGCTTACTTTAGGTGCTGGGCATCCAGCAGTAAAAACACTGATGAAACTTTCTGCCTTTGAATGGGGGGGCCAATATCTTGGTCGAGGGACTTAGACAACAAGCAAAATAATGAAGAAAATTATGTGACCTGAAGGTTCTAAGTGTTGTAAACAGGAAAGGGGATATAGAGGGTTGGTGGGGTCAATTCAAGTGAAGCAGTCAAGGCGACAGCTAAGAAAGATGCACCACTCGAAGGCTGTGAGCTACGTTCTATTTGGGGCAAAACGAGGACTGCAGCCCGGGACACAGCGTCTCAGATAGCTCTGAGAGACTGTTCCAAAGTGGCAGCGGGGAAGGCCGATGTACAAGGTTTTGGTGAAGCGGGAGTTCAATACCATGAAGCACTCACTTTACAAAAGGTTTTTTATTAGTCATGAGGATCTGATGTCACCATGAAGGGATTTAGTGCTTCTCTAGATATGAGGAGATGCAAGGATTGAGATAATAAAATCTGTTCCTAAAAATATCCAACTGTCTAAAGACCTGTCCCACCAGATTTCCTGGAGCACAGAGCGCCTCACTCCACCCTGAACTTCCTCAGGGGTTGGTGAAGGTCAACAGCTAAGCAGCAATCTTGAGAGTCCCTTGGACAGCAAGGCGATCAAACTAGTCAATCCCAAAGGCAATAAGTCCTGAATATTCATTGGGAGAACTGATGCTGAAACCCCAATACTTTGGCCACTTGATGCAAAGAACTGACTCATGGGTTCAGACTCTGTAGAGGCAGATGGCAAATGCTTTTGTGGTTCAGTTGTTGGCAGTACTCTTAGTGAAGGTGAAGTCGCTCAGTCGTGTCCGACTCTTCGCGACCCCATGGACTGTAGGCCATCAGGCTCCTCTTCCATGGAGATTTCTAGGCAAGGGTGCTGGAGTGGGTTGCCACTTCCTTCTCCAGGGGATCTTCCTGGCCCAGGGATTGAACCCGGTTCTCCCGCACTGCAGGCAGACGCTTTACTGCCTGAGCCACCAGGAAATCCCGTGCTCTTAGTAAGTGCCAATCTGTAATTGACAAAAGGCAGCATCCCTTGAAAAAGGAGAGGAAAGAGCACCCCAGTCTGGGGGAGGAGCCAGTGCAAAGGCCCTGAGGCAGGAGCGTGGTTGCAGGTTTGAGAAGAAGCCAGGAGCAGGCAGGGCGCTGGGGCAGGTGGGAGGGGGAGAGTGGGGGAGACAGGACAGACGGACGGCAGCAGCCACCCACGAGGACATCCTGGGGACCAGGCTGTGTTCCCTGGCGGGAATGAGCAGCAGGTGGGTTCTGACATATGACATAATCTGACATAGATGGGATAGGACCCCGACTCTGTGCTGAGAAGAGACTGGAGTGGGGGAACGGAAGCAGGGGCCAGCAGGGATCCCTGCAGGGGCTGGGATCCAGGAGTGGTGGGCCAAGGGTGGCGGGAGCATGCAGTGGTGAACAAGTCAGGAGGCAGGGGCTAGCCTAAAGTTGGATGTCAAAAGTTGGGGGTGAGACAAGAGAGGAGTAAAGGGTGACCCCAGACATGTGACCTTTAGGTTGCTTCCGATCTCACCTGGCCTTTCCTTCCTGGCTTCCCACTCAGGAAGCCCCTCGGGGACAGGGGCCACTCCCATCCTGTCCGTCGCTGTAGCCACCTCTCCACTGTCCACAGAGGACATTCAGCCAACATCTGTGGGATAAACGCGTGAGTGATGAGCTGAGAGCGCAATCTTCTGCTCTCTGGGCGGGGGGAGTATGAGCAGAATTACGTCTCCTCAAATTCACATGTTTTGGTCCTGATCCCTGCAACACCCTAAGATGTGACTGATGAATTTGGAGATGGGGGTTCTTTAAAGAGGTGGTTAGGAAAAGCGAGGTCACTACGGTGGGTCCTTATCCCACCGGACTGGCACCTTTATAAGAAGAGGAGGTCAGGAAACAGACAAAGCCTGTGGGGACACAGGGAGGAGATGGCTATCTATAAGCCCAGTAGAGAGGTCTCAGGAGACAGTAGCCCTGCTCACACCCGGATCTCGGATTCCAGCCTCCAGGACTGGAGACCGTAAATGTCTGTTGTTTGAGCTGCCTCATCTGTGGGACTTTGCTATAGGGGCCCGGAGACTCACATGGGAGCGACGTGGAGCTGGGTGTGACCTCCATGTGGGGAGGAAACAGACCCTGAAGGCCAGCACTCAGCCAGCGCACCTGGGAGTTGCTGACCAGGCTGGGGCAGGACCCTGATCTCTTGGGGGCCCACACCCATCCTGGGGATACGGGACCAGGCAGCAGACAGTGGGCGTGCTCTCTCTGGGGGTGGTGGCAGGACAGTGTCCCTGGAAGGGTGGAACTATAGCTGTCACCTGTTTGCTTGGCTCTGACACTCGCCCCAGCACCTGCGTTGCAGGGAGAAAGCCAGTTCTGACTCCATGTTGGAAACTTTCTTTGACTTGCTTTTCGTAAAGCAAGTTGACTCTGCTCTTATTATTATAATCACACGCAGTGTCTTGTCTGGAGGACCTGGCCCCCCTGCTGGGCTGTAAAGTGCCTTTGTTCAGCTCATGGAGATAGTTTGTCCCTCTCTGCCCACCGGTCACATCCACAGCTGGGCATTGTTTTGCTTTGGCTCCGTCTCTTCATTTTTTCTGGAGTTATTTCTCCAATCTTGTCTGTAGCATATTGGGCACCTACTGACCTGGGGAGTTCATCTTTCGGTGTCATATCTTTTTGCCTTTTCATACTGTTCATGGGGTTCTCAAGGCAAGAATACTGAAGTGGTTTGCCATTGCCTTTTCCAGTGAAGACTCTTGAGAGTCCCTTGGACTGCAAGGAGATCAAACCAGTCAATCATCAAGGAAATCGGTCCTGAATATTCACTGGAAGGACTGAGGCTGAAACTCCAATACTTAGGCCTCCTGATGTGAAAACTGACTCATTGGAAAGGATCCCAATTCTGGAAAAGATTGAAGGCGGGAGGAGAAGCGGACGACAGAGGATGAGATGGTTGGATGGCATCACCGACTCAATGGACATGAGTTTGAGTAAGCTCTGGGAGTAGGTGATGGACGGGGAAGCCTGGTGTGTTGTGGCCCATGGGGTCGCAGAGTCGGACAGGACTGAGCAACTGAACTGAATCTGTGAATAGAAGAGATTAACACACCTGTTTTTCCAAAGGCTGGCCATCCTCTTGGAGATGTTTTGCAAGACTGAAGCCCCCTCCACGTTACTTCCCCACGGCCTCTCTATCTCTGCTCTGCCTTTTGACTTTAGTTCATCATTGCTCCTTTGTCTCTGGTCTATAAAAGACCCTGGCATCCAGACCCCAATTAGACGGCTATTTGGAGGCGTTGGCATTCCATCTTCTCAGCCTGCCAGCTCCCCGATTAAAGTCTCTTCCTTGCCTCAGCACCTCCTCTCTCGGATGCGAACAGTGAGCTTGGACTTAATAACACCTTTACAGTGTGGGGGAAACCAGGCCGGGTTCACTGTGGGTTCCTCCCAAGCAGCCCCTGGGGCCTGGGAAAGGGCATCTCAGGCTGTGAGGCTCCGCCCCCGGCCCCGCCCCTCGGGCGCCCGCTGTGGGTGGGGTGGGTGGCGGGTGAGGCTTCCACGTGGCTGGGTCCGCTGCTGGTCCACCAGCCGCTTCCTCTGGGTGCGTCCGTTTCCTGCAGATCTCCTACAGCTCCGCAGAGGCCTCACTCCCTTCCCCCGCTGCTGCTGCAGGGGGCCAGCACCCTGGGGTCCAGGCGTGTTGGCACCGTGATCCTAGAGGGCCTGGCATCACCCCGGCAGGCTACCGGGGATGGCACCGGCAGAGGCCGAGGCTGTGGGACCCGCTCCTCCGGGCCCAGTTTGCATCCCCGTCTGATGGGTCTGAGCAGTGGGAAGCACGTTCGCAGCGCAGTGCGTTGGCCTGGGGCCCAGCTGCCTGGCGCAGGGTGAGGTCATGTCCTGCAGCGGCCATGCAGAAAGGGCGGGGCTCTCCCCTCCCGCGGGGACTCCCGTGGCCCAGGCCTTTTCCCAGAGACCCCAGGGGAGGGGGTGGCTGGGGATGACCTCCAGGCTGGGGATGAGCGAGCTGGTGCCTGTCCAGCACTGGTGCGTGAGCTGGGGCCACCTGTGTCCCTTGCTGGACCTCCCTCCCACTGAGCCGAGGGAATGGCCAGCATCTCGGGGGTCCTTGGGTGGCCACCCCTCGTGCTGTCTGTGCTGGCAGAGGTCATGAACAGGGAAAGATGGGAAAGTGTCAGTTGCTCAGTCGTGTCCGGCTCTTTGTGACCCCATGGACTGCAGCCCACCAGGCTCCTCTCTGTCCAAGGGTTTCCCAAGCAAGAATACTGGGGTAGGTATTCATTTCCTTCTCCAGGGCATCTTTGTGATCCAGGGATTGAACCCACGTCTTATTACGTCTTCTGCATTGCAGGCAGATTCTTTACCATCTGAGCCAGCAGGGAAGCCCTAAATATGAAATGACACCAAAATTAAAAGTTGCAAAAAATAAGAGAGAGAAAGCACTGACCTGATTGGGGTGGCCGTGCTCCCAGCCAGGTGACACTGGGTGGCCCACTTCACCTCTCGGGCACCCCCACTTCTGTTACCTGTACCCACCACCTGCTGGGAAGTCCCTGGGACCAGAAACTCAGAATCTGAATGCACGTGACCTGCTGGTGCTCTCAGAGCTTCTTGGCTGTCTCCCCAAAATGTCCCCGACTAGTGGGAATCCTCTGGATGGGGATGTGGTACCTCCAGAAGGTGCCTACTTTCCACCATCTGGGGCGATCAGATGTAGGGGACCCATTGGACCTTCAGCCTTCGTCTGGAGAGCAGCAGAAAGAGGGTGGGGGACAGGGGCTGATGACCAAGTGGGGAGGGGGCGAGGATGAATCGGGCACAGCGGGCAGAGTGCAGTGCTGGGGATGGGAGAGGGGCAGGGCTAGAAGGACAAGGCACGGGACGGTCTTGGAGACAATTTAGACTTTGGCACGGTTGGAATGCTGGCTTCCCTGTGGCTGGGGTGCTACATACCCGCCCATGATGCCTACACCCGGGTATACACACAGCTGGACACAAACAGCTCTGTTTGAAATGACATGCAATGTCCCATTTGGGATCTGAGCTGCAGATGATTTTCTCTGTTTGAGTTAAAATCTACAGGGGACCGAATTCCCCGTATGCTGGCTGAAAGGAGGGGACCTCAGACCCTTGCTCAGAGCTACTTATTCTTCTGTTCACCTGGGTTCCTGCAAACCTCATCTGGGTTCCTCCATTGCCTCAGGTGTGTGAAGGGGATGCAGTGAAACAGCAGCAGAAAATAGGCGGGAGGTGTGCATCAACCACAGAACTCAAATACCGAAGCCAGGGCACACTGGGTACTGCGGTGCAGTGCTCTCGCCCCACAGTGGGTGGTGAGGGCAGCGTCACAGAGCCTGTAGGATTAGGGTGACCAGCCAGCCCAGTTTGTGGGGCCCAATGTGGTTCCTGGATGTGAGACTTTTGGGGCTGATGGTGATGCTGGAGATGATGCTGGAGATGATGCTGGAGGTGATACTGGAGGTGATGCTGAAGATGATCCTGGAGGTGATGCTGAACGTGATGTTGGAGGTGACACTCTGGAGGTAATGTTGGAGGTGATGGAGGTGGTCTTGTAGGTGAAACTGGAGATGATGCTGGAGGTGATCCTGAAGGTGATGTTGGAGGTGATGCTGAACGTGATGTTGGAGGTGACACTCTGGAGGTAATGTTGGAGGTGACGGAGGTGATACTGGAGGTGATGCTGATGCTCTTGCTGAAGGCACCTGTGGTGATGCTGGTCCTTATCTGCAGGTGATGCTGGAGGTGGTGAAGGAGGGGAGGGAGGAGAATCTGTGACTATAGGTGCCTTCTAGCTCTATGTAAATTTCTCTTTCTTCCCTCTGAAAGCACAAGGCAGAGAAATAAACCCTTGATGAAGGCACCCTGGAGGGGCCTCCCCAAGTCTCGGGGAAGCCCTGCAGTGCGGAGAGCTGGGCCAGAGAACTGGTTTCTCTCTGGGCCCACCACAGAGCCTCTCCAGATCTTAGCTTCTCCATCCCTTGCGTGGAGGATAATGCTGGGCCTAACATGTCATTTGTTGAAAGCAGTCAACGAGATGACACGGTAGGAAAAGTCCCGAGAGGCATGTCCAGCACACAGGCCCTGATGCACATTAGCTCTTCCCGTTCTCCAAGGATCCAGACTGAGAGCCCAGTTCTAACCGGAGCCAGCCCAGCTCACGCACCCATGCCAGGGAGGCCTGCACGGGCTGCCGGGTCACGCACTGGGAGCCAGGTAGGCCCCGCCCCTTTGGTGAGGACCCAAACTCCGCAGAGTAGGGACCCACCAGGCTCCCTTGTGCGAGATGGGAGTGGGTCTCCTGCCTCCTGGCTCCCTGCTCTCTGTGGGCCTGGCGGGTCCAGGAGCCTCTGCCGGGCGGGCGGCCGGCGGGCTCTGCCCCATTTAGCACAGACACCGTCTGTGTCTCCTGGCCGCCCGGTGGCCGGGGGCATCTGGACAGCTCCCATATACAGGCGGCGGCTTGTTCGCCGGGGCGGCCCCGTCTGCAGTGCCTTTCTGTCCCAGCTCTGTCTGTCTGGCCTTGGAGAGCCAGAGAAATTTCCACTGCTTGGAGATGTTTGTTGATCTTTCCAGAGCCCACGAAGGGGCCCTGGGTGGCTCTGCCTGGAGCTTGGGCTGTGTGGGGGCCGACCTCGGTCAGCCAGGGAGCCAGCCCACACTGGGGCCTGCAGACGAGGCCACAGGCAGGCCTGCCCAGAGGTGACGGGAGTGAGGTCTGCGGAGGTCGGACAGCCACCGGGATGCCTTCTCAGCCTCGTGACCTCCTTGGCTCTTGAAGCACACTTCTCTGAAGCAGAGAGAGAAGCACACTTCTCCAGCAGGAATGGGGGGCCCCTCGGGAGGGGCCAGGGGGCCTTGGAATGTCTAGCTCACCCCAGCAGCCAGTCAGGCCAGCCCAGAGGCTCTGGCCACTGGCATGCCCTGGCCTGATGGCACTGAGCTCCAGACCCCAAGGAGAACCACCCAGCGAGGGGTGGCCAGCGCCAGGTCTGCAGACACTGGGCTGCCATCACTAGCACCGAGATGGACCCCAATCCCGCAGACCCCCGTGGGTGGTCTCAGAAGCAGTGGGAGGATAGCTAGACATGGGGTGCTTCGTTCATGCCAGGTTCCTGAGGGTCACCCTAGAAGAGTCCAGAGCTGGGGGTAGGGATGAGTCGCGCCTAAGAAATAATTGACCAGAGGCTGGGCTGGCAGCCATGGCAGCCTGGGGCACAGAGGTCCGCATCCCAGGGCAATAGGATGCCCACAGCTGCTCACTGCTGCCCATCGGGGGCTCAGGCCATCTGCAGAAGGGGGCCCTTTACAAGTGAGCATCCCAGGAGGCCCATCTGCCTGACGGCAGGTACTTCAGAGTCGAGCCACAACCTGAGCTGTGGAAAAAGAAAGAATAAGCAAAGGATGGAAGGATGGCGAGAAGGAAGACAGCCAGGCGATGCTAAAGATGAAGGATCAGGAAACCGCAGAATTGCCAGCTTGCCAAATCGCGAGAGGAGTGAAGGCGACCTGCACAGACGTGCGTGTGGTCCACCTCAGAGCCTGTAGGTGTTGTGTCCAGCAAGCAAACTCGGTCTCAGACCCCTAGCTGCCCTGGGACCCTCTCACAGTCAAGTGGAGTTCGGCCATATAGCACTCTGGATAGAGCTGGTTATGCTGCAGCAACGCTCGTGCATGCTCCATCGCTCAGTTGTGTCTGACTCTTGGAGACCCCGTGGACTGTAGCCCACCAGGCTCCTCTGTCCTTGGGATTCTCCAGGCAAGAACACTGGAGTGGGTAGCCATTTCCTTCTCCAGGGGATCTTCCCAACCCAGGGATCGAACCCTGGTCTCCTGCGTCTCCCGCACTGGCAGGCGGGTTCTTTACCATTGAGCCACCTGCGAAGCCCATGCTAGGGTATCTGAGCCGCTCAAGAAAACAAAGGCCGATGTCTGGCTCACACAGCATGTCCATCACGGACCCACCGGGACCTCCACTGACCAGAGAGCCTTGCTCTCTAACATGCAAAGAAAGGCCAGAGACCCATCCTAACTGCCCCTGACACTACGTCCAGTGCCCCCTCCCCTGCCCCTGGGTCTCAGGCAGCACACAGCCCTACATAGCATCAGGTCAGACAAGGGCCCCTCCGTCCAGGAAGGAGGCATGGGGCTGGACCCCAAGGGCTGTCAGCCCTGCTGTCCTGCAGCCCCTCTTGAGGAGGGCAGTGGGAGCCGAGTAGAGGGAGGAACCAGCATGAGGGCCCCAGCTTCCCAACACCCAGGAAAAGTGGGCCCCTCACCTAGATGCCTGCTCTCCGAGGGGCCCGAGTGCCCGGAGGATGGTGGTTTCTTCTTTGGAAAGGATTCGGTTGGGGAAACACCCTGGGGACCCCTGACCCGGGGCCCCTCCCATGGCCCACCTGAGGCTGCACCCCGTGGATGCGAAAAGCCAGTGGACAGAGGCCAGGGGGGTTCAGACCACCAGGCGATGGCCCCTGTGGGACCGAGGCAGTCAACCTCATCTCTGAGACGGCCGCCAGGGCATGAGCTTCCCGTCTGCCCCTCCAGAGAAGACCCCGCTCTGGAGGGTGGGGAGCGGTACCCCAGGGAGGGCTCCGGGTGTCAGAGCTCCGTGAGCAGCCGCGGTTCGCGGGGCACGTGGGTGAGCCGGGCTCTGCGGGAGGGGTTCTCACCTCGCTCCAACCATCCCGTGGAAACAGCTTCCCTGTCCCCGTCCCCCACCACTGGCCCCCGCCGGAAGGCAGGCGAGAGGGAGATTCCAGCAGAAGGAGGCCCGAGACGGCCCGTGATTCTCCCAAAGGCTCCCCCACCCAAGCAGGGTTTTCAGGGCTCCAGGTCTGCGCCCTGACTCCCGCCTGGGGGCCTGGGGGCCGCTGCCCAGCCCGTGGTTCCGCGTGGTCCCCAAGCAGAGCTCACGGGCCCTGTGTCCTGAGGGGCCCTTCTGGGTCCTCCCCTGACCCGCGTGGCTCCACCCCTCCCCAGGGTTGGCAAAGGCACGCGGATGCCCTGACGTCGGAGCTAAAACGGGCTCCGTTTTCACCAGGAAAGGTTTGAGTGTTTCCTTTTTTCCTGCCCTTTATTCATGTACTTCCTGGCATGCAATCAGAGGGCATTGTGTGCTGGAGTGGACCACTGCCTTCCAGTGAAAGCAAAACCCAGGAGCCCCCCCGCGCACAACACACAGCAGGACAAGGTGCCCAGGCTTGGGACCGGCTGGGCAGCGATGGCCACGAGGGGGTGCCGGGCCCCGAAAGCTATCAGGAATTTCAACACGGTGACGGCAGAGCGTGAGCCCCGCGTGGGCCGCGTGACGCCAGGCCTGGAAGGCAGCCCTGCCCAGCGGGGAGGGGCTGGGACCGTGGGCTGGCCCTTCGCCTCCGGGCCTCCGTTCCCACGGCTGTAAACTGGGGGTGTGGCAGGCAGAGGGAGGGCAGCGCTGCCCACGGTGTTCCTGGCCCCAGACTTCGCCTCTGTCCAGTCTTGTCCGGGGCTGCAGCTGGCTGGGTGGGGGGCTGGCACCCAGGGATGCCCAGGTGCTGGCTTGCCACCCTCACTGAGCTGGAATAACCCCCTAAAAGAGTGGTCCTTTTGCTGCAACCACGTGGGAGTGGGAACGTGCGTGAGGGCCACTAGGCTGATCCAGGGAGTGGGGAGGGTACAGCCAGTGGTGGGTGTGTGGCCAAGGGCCACCCCACCTCTCTCCAAGGCTTTGGGGGGTGGGTGTGAGGGGACAGATGAAAGGACAGACAGGCCTTTGGAGCATGACATGGCTCGTGCTTGTGAATGGAGAATCTTGTTGGTTCATTCATTCATCCATCCATCCATCCATCCATCCATCCATCAGAGGTTCATCGAGCACCTGATGTGTGCCAGGCCTGGGCAGAGGCCAGAATCTCAGGCAGAGGTGCCCAGAGACCCCTGACCCCAAGCTGCACCCATATTCCCCCCGCCCCATGCTGTGCCCAGAAGTGAGACCCCACTGCAGGCATGTCCTCTAAGCCTGGCATCTGGCATCTGTGTGGGGGGTGTCTGCCTCCTTACCGCCACTCCATGCCCCCTCCTCCAGCACCCCCCACTCCACAGCCCACTCCCTGCCTCCGGCTCTGTCCTCTTATCCCCGCTCCCCAAGTCTCGCTGATGCCTCTGTGGTCTTCCTCCCAGACCCCTCGCCTTTGGTCTGCTGCAGGCCGCCGTCCCCTCCGCAGGACAGGCTGGGGCTGCCCTGGGGACTCTGGCCTTTCCTGCTCCCTCCAGGGGGCCTCCATCGCCAGGACAGAGCCCGGCCGCTCGACAGGGACCTCCCACCATCCGTGGTCCCTTCCTTCCTCTGCTTCGTCTCAAGGAGTCACTTGGGGTCTCTGAGGATACCTGGCGCTCTTGTGCCCCCCGGCCTTTGCACGTGCTGTTCCTTCATCCTGGGAAGATCTCCCCCTTCCTCCTGTTCGCAAGTTTCCCTCTATCCCGTGGGTGAGCAGGTCAGTGGCCGTGGCCTCCCTGCTCATCTCTGCCCCCGGCTCCTCCTCTTACCTTGCCGGTGGTCCCTCTGGTTCTAAAGACTGGGCAGATACAGAGGGTTAGGGACCAGGACCCCAGCCCTCAGTGCCGTGCTTGGTTGCTGTGTGCAGAATGAATGAAAGAACGGGCTTCAGCATTCGTTCACTTGCACTTCCTCTGTGACCGTGACTGAGTCACCTTTTCCCACCAGGCCTCATGTTCCTCATCAGTACCCCGTGTGCAGCGTCAGGCCCTGCGCCCCAGGGCCGTGGCATGACGCCAGTCTGCTCAGCTCTGATCCCCAGGGTCTGAAACAAGGACGGTGCCACTTTCCTGGAAGAACAGCTGTGTAACATGATTTCCTCTTCCGGCGACATGCTTTGCTTCACTCCATATTTTCCTGGCAAACTCTCCCTTGCAGGACATTGACAGGCAGACTCCAGAATTCATGGGAAATTGCAAAGGGCCAAGAAGAGTCAAGCTCTTACACAAGCCGAGGGCTGATGGCAAATTTCAAGGCCAGGAACAGGGCAATAGTATCTAATGCGGCACTGACCCGGACAGCCCCATCCACCAATGGATCAGGCAACCCCACGGGGGCTCACGTGCCAGGCCAAAGGGGCCACGGCAGGGCTTATCTTTAAGCAACTTTGGCTTAATGGGTCCTCCTAAGAGAAACTGTATCTTGACCTTCACCCTGCAACACACAAATCAGTTCTTGATGGATCCCAGATCTGATGGGACACTTGTAGACAAAATAGAAAAGAAGATCTTTCTGACAATGGAGCAGGAGATGATTTCTTTTTTAAAAAGCTTTTTATTTCATTTGATAGTATAGCCGATTAACAATGCTGTGATAGTTTCAGGTGGACAGAAAGGGACTCAGCCACACACATGTGCATGCATGCTCAGTGGCTTTGGTCATTTCTGACTCTGCAATTCTATGAACCAAAGCCCGCCAGGCTCCTCTGTCCATGGGACTCTCCAGGCAAGAATACTGGAGTGGGTTGCCATGCCCTCCTCCAGGGGATCTTTCTGACCCAGGGATCGAACCCACACCTCTTGTGTCTCCAGCACTGGCAGGCAGGTTCTTTACCACTAGCACCACCTGGGACGCCCACCAGCCCTACACATACATGTATCCATTCTCTCCCAAGCTGCAATGATTTCTTAAATAAGACACACCAAGGCCAACCATAAGAGGAAATGTTTATAAATTAAATTACATGAAGATGATTGAGAATTACTACTGTTCATCAAATGTTATTCAGTTGAGTTCAGTTGCTCAATTGTGTCGGACAATTTGCAACCCCATGGACTGCGGCAAGCCAGGCCTCCCTGTCCATGACCACACCCTGGAGCTTGCTCAAACTCATGTCCATCGAGTTGGTGATGTCATAGAGCTATCTTGTCCTCTGTCGTCCCCTTTTCCTCCTGACTTCAATCTTTACCAGCATTAGGGTCTTTTCCAATGAATTGGCTCTTCACATCATGTGGCCAAAATATTGGCGCTTCAGCTTCAGCTTCAGTCCTTCCAGTGAATATTCAGGGTTGATCTCCTTTAGGATGGACTGGTTGGATCTCCTTGCAGTCCATGGGACTCTCAGGAGTCTTCTCCAGCACCGCAGCTTGAAAGCATCAGTTCTTTGGTCCTCAGTCTTCCCTATCGTCCAACTCTCACATCCATACATGACTGCTGGAAAAACCATAACTTTGACTCTACAGACCTTTGTCAGCAAAGTAATGTCTCTGCTTTTTAATATGTTGTCTAGGTTTGTCATAGTTTTTCTTCCAAGGAGAAAGCGTCTTTTAATTTCATGGCTGCAGTCACCATCTGCAGTGATCTTGGAATTAAAAAAAAAAAAAATCTGTCACTGTTTCCTTATTTCCCCATCTATTTGCTCTGAAGTGATGGGACTGGATGCCATGATGTTAGTTTTTCGAATGTTGAGTTTTAAGCCCGCTTTTTCACTCTCCTTGTTCACCCTCATCAATAGGATTTTAGTTCCTCTTCATTTTTTGCCATAAGCATGATCTTCATATCTGACATTATTGATATTTCTCCCAGCAATCTTGATTCCAGTCTGTGCTTCATCCAGTCTGGCATTTCGCATGATGTACTCTGCATATAAGTTAAATAAGCAGGGTGACAGTATACAGCTTTGATGCACTCTTTTCCCAATTTTGAACCAGTCCGTGTTCCATGCCCAGTGCTAACCGTTGCTTCTTGACCTGCATACAGGTATCTCAGGAGGTAGGTAAAGTGGTCTGGTATTCCCATCTCTTTCAGGATTTTCCACAGTTTGTTGTGATCCACACAGCCAAAGGCTTTAGCAGAGCCAATGAAGCAGAAATAGATGTTTTTCTGGAGCTCTTTTGCTTTTTCTATGATCCAGTGAATATTGGCAATTTGATCTCTGGTTCCTCTGCCTTTTCTAAATCTGCTTGTCCATCTTGAGGTTCTCAGTTCATGTACTGTTGAAGCCTAGCTTGGAGGATTTTGAGCATTACTTTGCCAGCATGTGAAATGAGTGCAATTTTGCAGTAGTTTTAACATTCTCTGGCATTGCCCTTCTTCGGGATTGGAATGAAAACTGGTCTTTTCCAGTCAGTTTCAGTCATCAACTTCCAGTCGCCAATTTATGGTGCAGTTTATGAATGAGTGTCATCCTGTTGGTGGACATCTTCATTCACCTTGCAGAGTTAACTAACACCTAAGTAAAATAACAGAGATGTAATGTTGGAGTTGTACTCATTTGTCAAGAATGGGAGCTACTTCTTTGCTGAATGGGGGTAATTGGTTTTGAATCCTGGAATTCCTATGCTTTGAGTTTGAATCTAATTTCCTATGCTGTTCACACTAGGACAGCTACAGAATGCTATGTGCTAAGTCACTTCAGTCGTGTCCCACTGTTTGTGACCCTATGGACTGTAGCCTGTCAGACTCCTCTGTCCATGGGATTCTCCAGGCAAGAATGCTGGAGTGGGTAGCCATGCCTTTCTCCAGGGGATCGAACCCACATCTCTTATGTCACCGGCACTGGCAGGCAAGTTCTTTATTACTAGCACTACTGGGAAGCCCCAGAATGCTACACTCTTCAGTTTAATCTGCATTGACATTTTCTCCAGCTCATTCTTAAATGTACACAGTTAACAAAGTCATCGGTCCATGTATGCCAATTTCCAGGGTATAAAAACTCCCATGATGGCCAGTAACAAACTGCCAAAGTGAAATCACTGAGCAGAATTTGGCAGCTGCATACAGTTGCACTACTGTATATGTCCATCTATGGGCTTGAAGACCATATGAGGTCACAGCGCAGGTGCTAGTAGAATAATTAGGAAGTGATGAGTTCTGAGCACTTATGACAGTGACTTTTTAATCGATCTTATGTAACCCTGAGCTTGCATAATTTAATTTTCCATCCTGGTCATGGTTAACAGCCAGCTCCTCAAATTCCCAAGAACTTAGTACTCAGCTCTTGGGAGCTGGTGCAAGGTGGGGATTAACCCCCTCCTCTTCCTGCTCCCGCCACCCTCCAGGGCTCCATTACTTCAGCGGGAGGCAACCATTCAATCCTATTCTATCTCCTCAAGACAACCTGCTGGGGCTTGGAGGGGAGATGCTGCACCTTCCTCCTATCATCTCCTGGCTCCATGCGCAAGCTCCTCCCACAAGGAAGTGGGAGCGCAGGTGACACGCCTCCAGCCCGAACTGTCCCACACCCTGGGCCCTGGGGGTCTCTCTTCAGAGGGCATCAGGCCCTGCCCTTCTATGTCTGGGGGTGGCTGGAAAGAGAGGTCTTGTTGACCCCTTCAGCCTTAACATCCCACATAGCATGTGGGAATGAGACAGCGGCAGGCATGTGGCCGGAGGGGGCAGGTCCAGGTGGCTGAGGGCAGAGCCTG